AGTACACGGATCTCAGTATGATTGAATACAAACAATTGGAAAATGCAGAATACAAAACGCAGTTCACACACTAGGTTTCAGGCAAATAGCAACTTGACACTTATGAAATGAATCCTCTGCTGGAAATTAGTAATCCCAAAGTTACAATTCAACTCAACCTTACAGCAATGATCACAATACCCGATCCGCCTTATCAATAGCTACAAGACCTAACATCCTATTTATATACCCGCGTTCATGATGATCCACACACAGGTACATAAAATGCATGAACTACCGGTTACAACTTATTCCGGGCGCAACGAGGGCTCTGCAGAACACCACCAGAGTTTGAACACAGAGAGAGGACATGTACCATAAAACGGACGACTTAAAAACACCACACATGAACCTATCGATCATGGATGCCATTGACATGCTCGGAACAGCATCCCATGAAACTCCTCTAGGAACCGTGATAAGCTCGGTGATAAAATTTCAGGAGAATATCAACTTGGCAATAAATTTCGCTTGGCGATAATCTCGGAAGTCGCTGATGTAGAGCGCTGTCAAGCGCGCTGGTATTCTGCAAAAGAAAATATGTACAAACAAGGTCGCGCAGTAGACAATGCGTATTTGGCTGAAAACGAAACTCACCTGAGTTGATCATGAACTTACCAGTGGGAGAAAGGCGTGAGAAGGTATCCTAATCTCGAGCTTCGTGCAGCCGGTAAAATGTCGCAGCAGAAACCGTCCGCCACAGCAGTCTTTCCGTAGCCGCAAGAGGGAGGATGTAAGAACAGAAATTGACACACATATTTGAGTCGTGTTTATGACGCAGTGAAGGAGAGGTAGGAGCAGGAAGAGCACCGCAGAAGCTGATCGAGTGTATGAAACGGTAGACGGAAACCGTGAGATGTGAAAATGAACGGGTGTTGAGCTGTGGATGAAGTTTGAAGGAGCGGGAGAGGAGCATCACACACCAAAAGCCCTCGTTTTCGCTTGGGCGAAAATTGGACGAAATGGTTTGAGTGATTATTCAAACCTGGTGTGGTCTGAAGTTTTCGCTACTGTGGGTTCACAAGTACCTTGACGAAACTGGCGAGATGGAAACCCTATAATGTCTTGGTTTCTGTTCGCCACACTAATCCAAACCACATCAGCGCTGTCACATCTGATTTTGACAGCGCACCTTCAAAAGTGACGCTGGTTTCTGACGCGTCAGCAACACCTTATCCAATGTCGCTGTAGTCAGTCCTGTTAGGGTACACTCCTGTGGGGACACTTGTGTCTCAATCCCCGTTTTCCCGAGTCGCGCCTGTTAATTTTCCCAATGTTGTGTCACAAACATCGAATGTACCGCGATGTAGGGCGACATATTGGCAGGTTCAGTTGGACACGTTTCACTGGCGGGGATCAAAAAGAGATGTACAGGTGTGTGCATTTGACTGGGTGACAGTACACCCGTATTTTCAACCTCCGAGCAGGGGCGTGGTTTCGATGCGCGGGATCTTTTCCCTCGCAAAATTGGCATTTTCGGATGTCCAGGTGCATGTGGTCGTGTCGGGCATTTCGAGTCGCGTGCGATTCTTTAACAATGACGGGTCGTTTCACAATTCGACAGCGATGTCAGCGCGTTTCACGCTGACCAATAATAAATACAGTACAAGTCGCCGAAAGCCGATTCGCATTTGGGACACAACACAGTTTATGTTGTTTTTGGGTGTCACAAAGTGATTGAGACACAAGTGTCCCCACAGGAATGTACCCTTATAGCGCCACTAAATTTCCGTCGATGCGAATTCAGACTCAGATTCATGCAAGTTGGACACCACTGTACACCCAACACAACCGAAGTAATTCGCTGTACCAGCCCAATTTGGCACGTGCGGGGCGGGTTGTATGCGAACAGCTAGCGGCTACGGGGACACAATGTGGAAGGGGTAGGATACAATGTGCAAGGGCGAAGACAGGTATGCAATGTGAGTGCAATGTTTGAGAATTGAACATCCTTGCCTACCACTGTATTTTGAGTGTTTGTACATTGCTTCGGCAATTGCCGCCGGGCATGGGTGGGGCAAAGCGGGTTTCGTGCATGGTTGTTGTGGCCCCACATTTTGTAGAGGAGAGTGACTGGAGAGTTGAAGAATCGCGGTTGGTTGTACAGCGTGATTTGAGTTGCTGGATCGAAGCTGGCTGCTACGGCGGCCTTTCCCGCCGAGATAAATAACATGGCGAGAACGATGAGTGCATGTTCCATCTGGGAAGATGCAGTGTGAGTGAATGGACAATGCTGGAAGCAACGAGATGGTGGTGCTGTTACTACTACTAGTAGGAACCTAAATTTCAAATTCACAACAAAGCTGATCAGTGATTTGACTGTGGCGTCGGGGGAAGGAGGGAATTTGTAGTTGATGTGGAGCGTATTTGCAACAGCACATGTCCGAGTTTGACAAATGCGGCTCGAGATGCATTTGGAAGACAACGCGACGCGGTCGGTGGAATCAACCGGGTTCTCCTCGTCACACGAATAGACACATCTCTTGGGTGAGTGATCTTGTTGCAATATGTGCTTTATTTATTACTGTACAGCACATTACATTCAAAACACGGAAAAGCGAATAACTTGGACTCGCTTTCACTTTATTTGCAAGGCTACGAAAATGCACGGGCCCACCTAAGTGGATGACAACCCTGCTGCCCAAACACACTGATTCTTGATTTTGATAAACCCCTTTCTGCAGAGGCACATATGTGACGTTCCTTGCGCTGAGTCGCACACCGAATGTGCAGGGCAGCCATAGAGCGAGCAGGGATTAGGCGCTGCAAGAAACAGAAATACAGGAGCACGGTTAGGCGTAGAAGCAGGAGTGTTTAAACTACAAAGGGCATCATATTTTGCAAGGAAGACTGGGATCTGAAAATGGAGTAGGAGCTGAAATAAACTTACTGTAAGAGCAGCCGACAGAAGCCACTGACGCTAGCGGTCCGCGGACGTTCCTGAAACGAAGCAAGGGACATAAAAAAAGATAAACGCGTTAGACGGCCAGAATGCTCCATAACTAAACCTGGCATCGCTCCCCCTCGTGTCGCTACGCGCGGAACCGAAATAAGCGACTTCAACGGCATCCACGAAACAGAATGGTACTCACTTCTTCACGGTGAAGCCGTAGCTGTAGTTGCGCGGACTCGCGTGTTGCGGACCGTCCGGGAGCTCGATCCCCGTCGCGACGCCCGCGCATTGCGATTCCGAAAAGAACCACACCGTGTTACACATCATGTGCCGTTTCGTATGGTCGCGAGTGTTCCACGTGATCATTAGCGATCCGACTCGACCAACCAGCTCCTCGGGAAGATCGTGGCACGGCGTGCGCGGGTCGGGCCGGATGGCGTGATACGCGGTGAACTCGCTATAGCGAAAGTCTTTACTGTCGTATAAGCTGATGAGTGTACCCTGACTGACATCTTCGTCGGCTAAGATTGTGGCGGGAAGAAGGGAAAGCAAAGCGAAGGCGATGATCACAAGATGGACTAATCTCGATCTCGCTTCCATGGCTGTCGAGATTCAATTCGCTCGACGCTTCAGGAAATGAGGAAGCGGTCGTAAATTGACTCGAGAAGACTTCAAATGATGATTCCGAGCGCGGCTCGATTGAATTACGTAAGAATATCTTTATCGCAGTTCATTTAGGGACTTCGAGTCGACAGAATAAGGCTGGCCTTGCCAGTTGCTGCTTCAGTAGGTGGAAGTGGAGTGGCGTGACGAGGCGACAAGAAAATGCTACGGATGATCGAGCTGCTCGTGGTTTATATCAGTGCTTGCGACAAGCGAGGCCATGGCGGTACTAGTGTTCACTGAGTCTGGGATCTGGACGGATGCTTGAAGCACTCTGGTTTGGAGTAGAGAAAGAGGCTTCTTGGTGGGTTCAGTGCGGTACTAGAGCGGAATGTTCGACCATAGCGATTGGTCGATACAATTTTACACGCCCTTAGTGCTGCTTTCATGCAGAATTGTTCGGCTGGCGCCTGCGCCGCGACCGCTGACCAGCTGTGAGGGTGCCGTGTGGGTGGGCGCAAGTGTGTGTGTGTGGGCCACATGGGAGACCGCCCGCTTTCAAGTGTCCTCGGATCGCGCCCTTGAAGCCCACTGGGCAAGTGTGAACAACATCCTCGTTAACAGGGTCGCCATTTGATAGGAAATGATACACTGTGCATAACGATATACAACTATACATTAATCGTAAACTTGTAAATTCAGCTCTCAACGAGACTGATATATCCTCAAGCCCAGCAGAAGAACGTGGTAGTAACTGCAAGCTGAATCACGTCCACTAGTCAGGTGTCACAGTTACAGGGCAGTCTAATTACCTAAGTTATTACATTTCTCCTAACACCCCATAATGGGAGAACATACTCTATGGCCAGTTGCTGACCATTGATCAACTAAACTATCTCCTTTTGCCAGGAGGGTGGCGCGCTCTGTACTGCTGCGGCAAACACTCCGCAGATTCAACTTCTGCATCAGGTACCAAGTCCAGCTGCCCCACCTGATTTGTTAAATTAGTTGCAGCTGCACCACCTGCTGCTCCTGCCAGCCATTGCTGCTGCCACTGCCGCTGCCACCACTCCTAAATGCGATGCAAACCTACCATTGATGCAGTGCTCTATATCCGCTTCCAGGAGGTTTCCTACTCCTACTTATCTCCTACTTTCCTAGCGTTCTACACCTGCTGATGTCCCTGTTCTGTAGTTGCTCCCACTGGTGCTGCTGCACTTCATGTGTCAGATAGGTAAGACTCCTCACTGCTCCCACTGCTTCCACTGCTTCCACTGCTTCCACTGCTCCCACTCCTTCCATGAACACCAGCAGCAGCAGGGGGGGGGGGGTTCTAAGTACAGGTTGCAATGCTGTGCAGATGCGCCAAATGGAGGAACCTGCTACTGCCCTTCCTACGGGTTACCACTGCTTTCATCGCTGCCACTGCTCCTAACGAGATCGCCCAATCAGACTGCTCGGTTCCTTATGAGCATGTTTCTGCAGCTGCAGCAGCTGCAGCAGGGGCCTCAGACGTGGCATTGGCTGCTGCTCGCTGGTGGTACCGCCGGGAAAACACCTCCACCAGAGAATGGATAATCTCCTCCTCAGATACAACCTGGAAGCGCAAGGTGGTGGGAGGGGGAAGAGGTAGAGGTTGTTTAGTGGTCAGAATTGAATATCACTGGTGCTCGCTGGTGGTACCGCCGGGAAAACACCTCCACCAGAGAATGGATAATCTCCTCCTCAGATACAACCTGGAAGCGCAAGCAACAGGGAAGGAAGGATGTGAGGGAAGAGAATAAGGTCAGGGATAAAACAGAATTGTTTTTTTTTTCTATCCAACAGAATACTGGAAGTACAGTAGCTAGACGTTGAGTCATGAAGTACAGTGACTCTGCTTATAGAAGAAACGTCTCCCCTAAAATACTTGGCCTGATTAGTAGCTTTTACTTAGTTCCCTACTGGTTGCACGGACTTTACACTGACTGCCACTCAGGGGACGTACCAGACTCGCGAAGTGCTGTGCCACTGCCAGCTTGAGCTCCTCCTGTTAGAGGGATGCCCGGGGTGGGGTGAGGGAGAGGAGAGAGAAGCATAAGGGCAGAGCCAATACTAGGGCAGCATGCTGTGCCACTGCCAGCTTGAGCTCCTCCTGTCAGAGGGATGTCAGGTGTGAGAGGGGCAAGGAGAGAGAGGGGGAAGAGACTGGATTAAGGGAGGAAAGTGCGGGGGAGACTGTAGAAATTGGTGACCTTCAAAGCATCAGATAAAGGCATCTGGGAATGGGAAAACAGGCTATCTCATAGAACCACGCACCCCCTTGAGCTGAAAACCCACTAAGGCCAAGCGCCCACAGAACTCAAGCACCCACCTTGCCAGAGGACGCGTCTCTGAGTTTGTACACTCGCTTGTAGCGCTGCAGCGAGCTCGTCTGCAAGCTTTGATAGGTCCAACTTGAGAGGCCAAACACCCACTCGTGCCAAACACCCACTCAACCCAATCACCCACCTTGCCAGAAGAGGCGTCTCTGAGTTTATACACTCGCTTGTAGCGCCGCAGCGAGCTCGTCTGCAGCTTGGATAGGTCCACCTTGAGAGGCTTGGCGCTGCTGCCTTGCACCCTCTTGCTGCTCCGAGGCAACACAGACCCAGCCACCGCCGCTGCTGCTGCTCCTGCTGCTGCTCCAGGAGATTTCTTCCATCCATATTCGCTGTTGTCATACTCGTTACTGTTATCTTGGCTGTTGTTACTGTGGTGGCCACCACTAGACGATTTTCTATTCTGTTCCCTCTCGCCCTCTTCTCCCTCCACTTCTCCAGCTCCCTTGTCGTCAGTTGTATCCATGGGGTCAGTCTGGTCGATGTGGTCAACGGGGTGGATCCTCTGGTCAATGGCAAGCTCGGGCTTTGACTGGTCAACACGGTCAACGCGGTTAGCTGAGTCAGCATGGTCGCCGGGGGTTGAGTCGCTTGAGGGGTTGGGGGAGTGCAACGAGTCCTGCAGTCCCTGGGGCGGGGCGGGGGAAGGAGAACAGGCGAAGATACATTAGGTGGGGGAACCGATTGTTGAGGCGCCTCAAGAGTCACTAGGGGTTGAGTCACTCGAGGGGTTCGGGGAGTGCAACGAGTCCTGCAGTCCCTGGGGCGGGGCGGGGGAAGGGGAAAGGGCAGGGACAGGTGAGCGTATCGATTAGGTGGAGGAACTGACTCACGAGGCGCCTCAAGAGTCACCAGGGGTTGAGTCACTCGAGGGGTTCGGGGAGTGCAACGAGTCCTGCAGTCCCTGGGGGGAGGGGGAGGGGAACGGGCGGAGACAAACTAGGTGTGCGTGAAAGAGAGGAATCTAAACAGAGAAGGCGGGTGATTGGCGAGGATCGGGTTTGTTTTGAGTGGGGGAGGACTAGGGAGGTGAGAGGCTGGGGGCGGTGGAGGAGGGATGGTGGGTATTCTTAGAGGCGGGTGGTTTGTGGGCAAAACGGGTGCTTACCGGGAAAGTGTCGCTGTCAGTGTCGTTACAGCTGCCATGCTGTGCACTCCCCCCCTCGTCACTCTTCACCGCCTCCCCCTCCCCCTCCCCTGCTCCTCCTCCCCTCCCCGCACCCCCCTTAAACAGCACCTTGACACTGCCACTCCCCCTTCCGCCCCCCGCCCCTTTCTTCCCACCTCCTCCCGCTCCATCTCCCCCTGCCCCTCCCTCTCCACCTCCTGCTCCCCCCGCGCCCCCTGCGGTACCCTGTCCTCTTCCTGATAGTGGGGATGCGGGGGAAGCAGCAACAGCAGCCACAGCCGCCGCCGCCGCAGCAGCAAGCAGGCTGTTCCGACCAGAAACCCCACCAGCAGCAGCAGCGCCACCGCCGCTGGATTGCCTGCTCTTCCGCCTCCCACTAGGAACCGACCCCCCTCCGCCTCCCCCTCCGCCAGCCCCTCCCCCGAACAGTATCCGCCCAGGTGATCCACCGGGCTTATCCGCGCCCCCTCCGCTTCCCCTGCGGTCCTTCTCTCCCCCGGTTGCGCCGCCCGCCTCCGCTGCAGCTGCTGCGGCCTGCGCGATTGCCAGGCGATCCGCCGCGTTGTGGCGGCCCAAGCGACGACGGTCGTTGCAGTCCGAGTGCTGGACGGGGGGAGATAGGGGCAAGAAGGAGGGGGATGAGCTGCACTGAGGTAACGCGCAGCGTTGTGGCGGCCCAAGCGACGGCGGTCGTTGCAGTCCGAGTGCTGGACATGGTTGGGAAGGGAGCGGGCGACGGAATACAAGGAAGGGATTAGGTTGGTGGGAGGAACCGGGGAAAGGAGGAGGTTGATTGAAAGGCGGGAGGGGGTGGCATGCACCTGGATAATCCGCCGCGTGGTTGCGGCCTAAGCGACGGTCCTCGTCGGGATCAAAGCACTGGACATGTGTGGGACGGAAATCTCTGGATAGGAATCCCGTACCTTGCCCGCGTCGCGGCATCCCGGGCATTGGTAGGATCGACGGTCAATCTTGGAGACGTCGATTCCGTACTCCATCTCGCACTCCTCGTGCGACCAGCGGCGACAGTTGCGATTGGTGCAGCCGATCCACTGTGAGGGGAAGATTAGGGGAGGAGAGAGACGGAGGAGGGGGAAATGAGAACCACCAATGAGAACCATCAATAAGAGCCGTTAAGGAGAAGCACCAATTATGATTATCATTGCTTCATTGCAGCTGATAGATACTGGTGCAAGGCTGAGGGACAGATGGACGAATGTAACGAATGAGGACGACGTTTGAAAGAGAGGAACGGAAGGGGGAGATCGAGGGAACCAAGGAAAACTTCGAGTAAGGGGAAGGGAAACTAAGGACTAACGGGGACCGATGAACGCGGACGATCAGGGACGCTGACACCACGAACATGCTTGGCGAATAAGGAATATTAATCTAAGCCGAAGACGCACTTGCTTCTTGTCGAAGCTGTCTGGATCCCTCTCGCGATAGATCTGAACGCAGAAAGGACAGTACTTGCCCTGCAGTACACACACAACAACGAGAACCAAGAACCAGCAATAACGGAGAGAAGGAATGAAGAATTGATTGAGCACGAAGGCTAAGATAAGTCAATGCCAAATCGAGAGACATTCGCCGGCACTGGGGATACCGCAAGGCTGTTCTTGAAAAAGTTTTCGGGGTTCAGTCTTGAATCTCCAACTTTGGGGCGGCGCGGTGCAAACACCCGGCACAGGGAACACCACAAGGCGGTTCGGGACCGATTATCAGACGGGTCCAAATTCCGCAAAGCAACCTGGCATTGGGAATACCGCGAGGCAGTCTGAACTTGGGAACACTCCCAACCAACTTTGAAATTACCGCTAGAGGAAACTTGGAGTAACCAGTTCCTGATAGTTAGACGAACCTGATCGAAATTGATCTTGCACGCATTACATAGGGTAACATTCACGGGATCGTCTTCGCTGCCGTAGTTTCGCACGTGCCAGCGGCAAGTCCTGCGGAATGGGAAGGGGTGTTCGGGTTGGTTAGAGCTAGTAGGCATAAAACAAAAGCTTAATAGAGCAGTTGAGATGCTAAGTGTCGGGCATGCGTTAGAACGAAACACATAGGAAGATATGATGAATACCGCTGGCAATGGTGGGTTTGAGGTACGTACGGTCCGTCGCCAGGCGACGTTCTGCGACAGAAGTTGTTGGAGCACATCACCACCGCCTTATTCTTCCAGCTCTGCATCTTTCGCAGCTTCCCTGGCGACCCCCCTCCAAAATCTGAACCCGCCGTGACCCCAGCCGCCACCGTCGCTGCCGCTGCCGCCGCTGCCGCTGCCAGCGTGCTGCAGCCGCCGTTGCCGCTCGCGGCTCGCAGCAGAGCCGGCCGCAAATGTCCCTGCGCCGTGTTGACTGACGGAAAAAAAGTTTTTTTTTTGGACGGCAACTTTAACAGAACGCGTCAATCTTAAAGAAAGTGACGGCTGGCGTTAGGCCTCTGCCTGCAGAGGCTGCAGTGAGAAGGAAGCTGAGCCACTATCACGTTTCAGTCCACAACAACCGTCTCCCAAAGAAGAAGGAACCGCTCATTCCGCCACTATCATTCTTCGACCCCCATCTTATTCCGAAAGCAATACCCAGGGTTAGTGACGGAGGGGCCGGGTATCGAGTTACTCTTAGCCGGAGCACGGAATTCGCGAGCGCCACGCGTTCTCCCTTTGCGATGTCGTCTCTGCACAAAGAAAAAGGATGAATCAGCACATATTAGAACCTTCGTCGTAGTCACAGTTTAACGGCAGAAGATAAAAGAGAGAATATATGTTACGAATAAAGCTTAAAGCGTGGAAGCTCGTAGATGCCGCAAATTTACGAAACACGCACTGTAGCAGGCTGGAAGACTTGGCTAAGTAAACTGACATCCGCTAGGCGGCGTTATGGACTTCAAAAAAAAAAAACGAGGTACTAGTGCTTCCTATTTTGTAGAATGCGAGGCGATCATACGCGGCAAAATCGTCCAGATGCAATTCTAGCAGTTTATCGTCAGCGTTAGGCTCATGCGAAACCAAAATGAAATACCAGCATAAAGAAAGGCTTATGAGTAAGCGTGCAGCTTGCGGTGGCGGCTAAGAACCCGATTAGGCGCTTAAGCGCGGGACTGCGAGACTGGTGTGTAGAGATTTTCGGCGTTAGCTATATCACACGGTAACGCCGTGGTCCGCGAATGGAGATAAGGCTGAGATATACTGGGCTAAAATCTTAGACTGGAAAAGTTACCTGAATGCGGCAGGGAACACGCTACGGCGGGAAGGATCTCAGCACATAATGGTTGGAAAGAGAATTCGCGCTGACTAAACTGGCCGGTCGCCAGCGATGGAAGGTCAAGTGGGAATTCGCATAATAAATACTGTACTCTTGAATCTGGTCTGGCGTGGTTCTGTTTGAGCGAATCTGAAATTTGGGAGGTCGAGTAGGGCTGCGAGGCGAGGCGATTGCCACCAACACGAGGAATGCGGGACACTCATTCAGCTTTCTAGGGAGACACAGAGGGCAACGGGCTGATGGGGCTGGAAGGGCATGGGCAGGGTGTCACCTCGCCATCTAGTCGTCTCCCCTCACCCTTGTCCTTTTTCATCTCATTCATGACGCACCGCATTCACTCCAAATTCAAGTTTCCATCAAACCCTTAGGTGGGCCGGAGCAATCCCTCACTGGCGATGACTGGGCAAGCCAGCACACCCATCACAGAGCGATGAAGGGATCAGAGTGATTCAGGATTCACACAGCACAAGGAGCAATTATGTGAGGCAGTCCTTAATACTCCCCTTAACCGTGTCAGGCTGTGCAAACACCTGTTGAGAACGGACAGCACTCCCTGAATCGCACAAGACATTCGGGACATTCCAACGGTGGGCGAGAGGAAATCCCAACCAATCCCTGCCAACGTACAGCAACAACACCGTAAATTCCAAACCAATTTGCCAAACCATAATTCAGACGTTCGAATTTCCGCTTCTTTCGCCTTTCGCGCAATTTTTGGTTCGGCACCCAAGAAAGTGCTGGTCTGGTAAAACACTTCCCGACCGAATCTGAACCAGCCCAGCAAACGCGGTTCGTCACGCCGTTCTAACGAAGCGCGCCAGGTTGTTGATCGGCCCGGGCGAGGCGCAGGGGCCAACGGACGAAATGTCTCTGTTTCGCGAGAATATGTCGGGCACGTGCGACAATACATCCATGTGTGATGGGAATTGCGAAACACAAATGCGAGATTAGCGGGAATTCGCGTATGCATCCGACGTGCGTCGCAAGCGGAAAACGACAATAGCGTGACCGTGCAGGTGTCGTCAAAGGCGAGAGAATCCGTCAATGGGCCCGCACGACCGAGCCTGCGGACGCAAAACGGTAGGTCGACGACGGTGGTGGCTTGTACTGTAACGGGTTTCTTTCAGTTTGAGAGTCCGCAGTCAATGCAATCGCCAGCGCAGGCAAACCCACCCCGCGAACACGTGCCCCCGAGTGAAACGCACCATTCTCGTTACAGAGCGCTTCACAGGGACAGGCAAGTATTTTTGGCAATCAAAGCAGAGATTAGTTTATAGTAAAGTCCTTACAATATAGGAATTTCCACTACATCCCCACTCCACTTCCGAGTCCAGCAAACCTAGATAGGAACCTTGCTGTCAAGCAGGGTCGCGCACCCTTACGCGTCCCTATTCACAGCTCCGTGACTCACGCAGGCGCCAATTAGATTCGTCGCTTCCTTTATTTAGGCATCCACAATGTCGGACGACACTGAGACTAATGATGTCCCGAAGGACGCGTCGCGCGACATGCAGCAGCAGAGTCGCGCCCTAGATTCCATCACCGACCATGTTGAGGAGCGACAGCTAGATTCGCGCCGAGTCCAAGAGGTACGCGCAGCCCGTCGAGTGGGATCCTTCACTGCTCCCGGAGGTCCCACACTATGTTAACTAGGTTCCACTATGTCAGATGCTCGTCTAGTGACGGGCCGTTAGTTTTAGGGACACAGGGGTATTGTACGGAATGGATTTGGACTGGTAGTGAAGTTCAGTGTGGTGTTTTTGCACCAACCGAACAAGCGAGCCATGCCCTAGGGTTCAGACGACGACTTGATGGTTCTGGGTTTCGCGTAGACAGACTCGCAGGCGTCATTTTTTTGTTGCGGCAACGTCCAGGTCCCTGAGGAGCGAAAGCATGGGGCTAGTTTGTGTTGCCTGACTCTCAGCAGGCTATGTCAGTCCTAGTTTTGTCGTCTTAAGGTTCTCAGCAGGCTCTGCCAGTTCTGGTTTTCAAACGTCTGAAATCTATCAACGCTATCAGTTTCGTTGTCTTTCCGCTCTGTCCTCTGATGCTCTTTTGTTTGTCGGTGCAGGCCATGGCGTCGATAGCGGCGTCATCTGCGGCGGACAGGGAGGCTCAACGCGCCAGGTAAGACCATGGACCACGGATTACCGTGAGTTTACTTGGGCCAATAGCATCACAGGGTGTATACAGTATACCTAAGCTCTACAGCATGCTCAGGCTCCCTGGCGCGTTGAGAAATGGTGTGGAGGAGAGGCTCTACAGCAAGCTTGAACTGCAGGGAGAAGCAGCTGACTGCTCTAATGGATGAAACGGTTCATTCTGATTGTGCCAGATTTGAGAGTTGCATGGGTTGCAACTCATGTCCTTTGTTTGCTTTGCGTGGCGTGTTGGTTGGTTGGCATTGCATGGAGCAGGAGCTGGCTGCTTGTAAGGGATGAAACAGCTTACACGCGTTTGATTGTTTCAGAATTGCTTGTACCATGGGTTGCATCGGATGTTTTTTGTTTCCTTCGCGTAGCATGTTGGTTTGGTGGCATTGCAGGGAGAAGGAGCTGGCTGCCCTGAAGATTTCTGAGTAGCCTCAAAAGTCATCTCATGCCCTTTGTTTGCCTTGCTTGGCATATTGGTTGGGTTTGTATTGCAGGGAAAAGGAGTTGGCTGCAGTGAAGATTGACTCGGTACACATTGACGTGATTGCTTCAGAAATGGAGGTAAATTGATAAGGTTCCTTGTAGATTGTTGGCTGCTTCCTTTCGACATTTTATGCGTCCCGTTTATTTATCCCCGTTACGGAACTCCTGATCCAACTGTAGTTGTGAATCCGGTTTGCTTTCCTGTCCTTGTGTTCAGGTTGACAAAAAGATAGCGGAGAGAAGGCTACGGGAACACCAAGGGGACCCTGTCGCTGCTCTTAGGTCGTTTTTGCATCGATGGAAACTACCATTTGCGGGATTATCCTGCTTTTACTGAATGCAAATGTATCATGTGTCAGCTTCATCCATGCAGTACATAGTAACGAGTCGACCATATTCCACATTGAGGTTCCGTCGCGGTTGCGTCGCATCACTTCGTACCATTTCCTAAGTGCGCCCAATTGTCCCCAATTCGCGTCGCAGAGTGAATCGCATGTTTCCCAAATGCTCGCACCACTAGCAACCCACATGAGGGATCGGAGCGCCTGATTATCGCAGCTGCAACGCTACTATTACTTTTTGGTCGCGTCGCGTATCAGCAACCGAACGTAAGCGAAAGCATCCACAGGTTGTTATTGCGCCGCGGGTTTCTGTGCGGAGCTCGAGTTGCCGCTCTCTTGAGCGAAGGGACGCGCGAGATAGGGCCAGCCTCACGCCGCCGTCCTCTCGACAGGTGTTACCACTCTGCGCGAGATACTAGGGTCAGTCTTCGCAAATGGGGAACGTGAACGTCAAGGTTAGTCCGGCTGGCCGTCGTAAAACACTGAAACGCTTCACCTTTTCTCCATACTCCAACTTGCTTTTCTTCCCTCCCCTGTGCTTGTTCATCCTCCTCTCATGTTCCTTTTATCGTCCTTTCGTCATCCTTACGTCCGACGTGGTTCTCTTGTCTTCCTTTCATCCCACTTTCGTCCGCCATCTCCTCGTCACCAGGACGGGCCACACTCCGTGGGCCTTTCCAATCCCTCCCTCGGGAATGTTTTGAGACGTCTCAAGTCTTCCGCCTTCCTCCTTCCATCCTCCTATCCCCTCCGCCTCCTCTCACCAGGACGGGCTAGACTCCGTGGGCCTCTCCAATCTCTCCCTTGGGAATGCCGCGCTGGGTGGGGGAAGGGCGGCGGCGAGCGCTCAGCGCGCAGCCAACTGGAAGGCCACGGGGATCATCGCCCTCAGGGACGCTCATTTGAAGGTGGGGTTGGGGGAGGGGGTGGTTAGAGCATTATTCTCCGCTTTTGTACAGGGTACGCTAGGATTAGCGCTCAGCGCGCAGCCAACTGGAAGGCCACGGGGATTGTCGCTCTCAGGGATGCGCACTTGAAGGTGGGGGGGGAGGTTAGAACAATGTTCTGGTTTGTCCGATAGCACTAGATTCTTCTTCCAAGCAGTATGTCTGTTCGATTCCATGTTTGAAGCACCAGGCTCAGCCTAGACTCATATTTCCGCCCTGAATCTCCCCTTTGTTCTTCGTCCTACCCCATTCCCCTTCGTCTCTTTCTTTGCTTCCCACCAGTCCATCCGGGATGCAGTGTTTGAGGCAGCGGCGTCCGCTCGCACTCATTCCGCCGCCCCTTCCCTCCCCCTCTTTCTTGTTTTCTTCCCTGCGCTCCCTGCTCTACCCTTTCTGCTTTCTCCCTCACTCCCGTTGTGCTTTTCACCAGTCCATCCCTGATGCAGTGTTTGAGGCAGCGGGGTCCGCTCGCACTCTAGACGCGTCCAATAACAGAATAGGTAAGCACATGGTAACCACTTGGTAACCACAACGGAGTATTGCCGCACGCAGCAGGGTCTACCAACAGCCGCTAACGGACCCCTGCACAGCGCTCATGTGTTTGAGGCACCTCAGAAAATCCCGAGTAACCGCCCAACTTGGTTTCGTACAGTTCGTACAGTTTTACTTGGTTTCTACCAACTGCTGCTGCTCGCATTCACGAGGTGACTTTTGAGTCGACTCAAAAGTCGTTTCGTACATTTTTACGTCAACCATGTTTTTACGTCAACCATGTTTTTACGTCTACCATGTTTTTACGTCTACCATGTTTTTACGTCTACCATGTTTTTACGTCAACCATGTTTTTACGTCTACCATGTTTTTACGTCTACCATGTTTTTACGTCAACCATGTTTTTACGTCTACCATGTTTTTACGTCTACCATGTTTTTACGTCTACCATGTTTTTACGTCTACCATGTTTTTACGTCTACCATGTTGTTACATCTACCATGTTTTTACATCTACCAACTGCTTCTGCTCGCATTCACGTTGGGTGATGTGTGCGCTTTTTGTGGCAATCTGACAATTCACTTTACTGCCGCACCTGACAGCCTGGTTTTCCCAGGCCTATCGGTCATTAGTCAACTATGTTCTCCGATGTAGAGTATTTTTGAGAATTCTCAAAATACTCTACCTGGTTTTCCCAGGCCTATCGGTCATTAGTCAACTGTGATCTCCTCCCTTTGAGGCGCCTCAAAACTTTTGAGGCGCCTAAAAATTCAGTCATCAGTCAACTATTTTCTCCTTCTGCATCTGCCTGAAACGAATCAGCAATATCACCCTCCCTCCCATTCCTCCCTCCGCCATCCCCACTCGATCTCAACCGTGCAGTTGAGATCCCGGAAGCAATCGGACGGTTGACATCGCTGCAGCGGCTGGTCCTCCCGACCAATCGCATCGAGCGCCTGCCTGCTTCCATCGGCCTGCTTACATCCCTCAAGGCCCTTCAGCTGGAGAACAACCGATTGACAGAGCTGCCAAATGAAAGTGAGTTGGAGGATGGGGGCATATGATGTGGGTGGGGTGGGAACATTGATATCACCAATCGCATCAAGCGCCTGCTGAGACGTCTCAAAGGTCGGGGGCATATGATGTGGGTGGGGTGGGAACATTGATGTGCAGCGGCTGGTTCTCCCCTCCAATCGCATCGAGCGCCTGCCTGCTTCCATCGGCCTGCTTACATCCCTCAAGGCCCTTCAGCTGGAGAACAACCGGTTGACAGAGCTGCCAACTGAAAGTGAGTGGGAGTGGTGTGAAGGGGTTCTCAGGGGTTGGAGGGATTAGTAGGGAGTAGGAAGGGGCTGCTCTCCTCCCTCAAGGCCCTTCAGCTGGAGAACAGTCGGTTGACGGAGCTGCCAAACGAGAGTGAACACTTATTACAGTTAGGGAGTAGGAGCAACAAGGAGGGAGTAGGAGGGAGTAGCAGGAGGGAGTAGGAAGGAGTATGAAGGGTCCGCCTTCATCTCTTAGGATCAACCGAGTGACAGAGCTTCCAGATGAAAAGGCAACTCTGACTCTGACCCATCTCCCTTGTCCCTTTGAGGCGCCTCAAAACTTTTGAGGCGCTTTTTGAGGCGACTTTTGAGGCGCCTCAAAACTTTTGAGGCGCTTTTTGAGACGACTTTAGAGGCGCCTCAAAACTTTTGAGGCACCTTTTGAGGCGCCTGGCGCCTCAAGAGCTTCCAGATGAAAAGGCATCTCTGACTCCGACTCATCTCCGTTGTCCTTTTCTCCCTTCTCCCCCCTCCCTATTTCGATAACTCCACCATCCCCTCTCCCAGTCGGCTCGCTGTCTCGCTTGGAGCGCCTATCCCTCGCCACCAACAAGCTGCAGCACCTGCCAGACTGAACCAACACATGAACGGACCCTTTATCCATCTCCCCCTCCCCGCCCGTCCCCCTCCCCCCAATCTCCCCTCATCTCCCAGTCGGCTCGCTGTCTCGCTTGGAGCGCCTATCCCTCGCCACCAACAAGCTACAGCACCTACCAGACTCTATTGGCCGGCTCTCAGCTGTATGTGAAGCACTCTGAATCCCTGGCTCGTCTGCTCAGCATTTGGCCTCATGGTGCTTTTCTCCTCGTGTGATAAGTCATAGTTTTGAATCGACTCATGAATCAGCTGTATGTGAAGCACTCTGTATCCCTGGTTCGTCTGCTCAGCATAAGAGCAGACCAATTGAGATGGTGCTTTTCTCCCTGAGTCCCTCCCTACCCCAACATTGCGGCATGTCTCTTCCATCAATCCCTTACCGCCCCTCGCTCCCATCAATCGTAAATCAATGCGCCATTTTGAGGCGCCTAAAAAAATGTGGGATAAGAGACGACTTTTGAGGCGCCTAAAAAAAAAAAAAAAAAAAAAAGCGGGATAAGAGACCACTTTTGAGGCGCCTCAAAAGTCGTCTCTCTCTCCCCCTACCGACATTGCGGCATGTCTCTTCCATCAATCCCTTACCGCCCCTTGCTCCATCAATCATGCCGTTCCCTTCAATCAATCAATACCCCACCAGTTCCCTCATTGCCTGTCCCGTCAACCAAACCCTTACTGCCTGCCATGTGGTTCCATCAATTTCCCCTTGCCCCTCCCTTCCACCAATCCCACTTTCCAGTTGGTCACTCCAGACGTTTCTTCCAACTGCCTCCCACCCACCATTTGTAGATGCTCCACTCTTCAAGTTTTGAGGCATCTCAAACTCACCCCCCCTGCCCCTCTCTCTCATACCTTCCCTCCTTGCCAGTTGGTCATTCTAGACGTTTCTTCCAACTGTCTCCTTAACCCCTACCCACCATTCAAACTCCCAACCCGTTCCCACCGCTGCCCACTCCCATATCTTCCCCTCTTGCCATGCCAGTTGGTCACTCTAGACGTTTCTTCCAACTGCCTCTCCAGCCTCCCACCCACCATTGGTAGCTGCTCCAGTCTTCAAGTTTTGAGGCACCTGAAAACTCTTCACCCCCGCAACCCTCTCTTCCATAACTCCCCGCCCTTGCCAGTTGGTCACTCTAGACGTCTCCTCCAACTGCCTCTCCAGCCTCCCACCAACCATCGGTAGCTGCTCCAGCCTTCAAGAAATCTCGCTACAAGGTACCTCGTTTCAAGGCACCCCATTTGGAGGTACTTCATTAGGACGTACATCACTACAGCAGATTCTCACTATGTACCGTGATACAGTACAGTGTACATCAGTACAGTACGAGGTGCTGATAACGGCACAGCACCGTGTGGTCGATTCAAAGCACCGTGTGAAAACGTATATCCATTTGAGCCAACCCATCCGAAAGTATGCCCATATTTCTTTGTTGATTCACCCTCCTTCACCCTCCTTCACCCTCCGTCCGTGCCCAGACAACCGCATTGCAGGTCTACCCCCTTCGGTGGTACAACTATCCGACCTTCGCACTCTCGCCCTCGATAATAACCGACTCACTGATGTATGTCAACCCCTTGTATATACCTCCTCCTTCCCCTCCCTACCCCTCACGCTCCCACCCTTGTCCCCTCCTCCAAACCACTCGTTCCCTTTCTTGTTTCTGCTTCCTCCCTTGATCTTATTCACTACCGTCATCACCCGGATATAAGACAGTGTTGAATAGTAGACAGGGGTTGTCTATTATACGGGTGTCTCTTATAAACGGGGTAGCCTCATTATAGGACACCTATTTGTGTGTAGGGGCAAATGGCAAATGTATAACGAGGAAGTATCTTCTAAACGGATTTTTGTCCATTTATAAGACTGATTTTTTTAATGTATGAGATAAGACATACGTGTCTTATATCCGGGCGATGACGGTATCTTTCTCTCTCATGCGTGTTCACACGCAGTTTCCAACAACACGAAAAATCACTCTGATGTTGCGATAATATTAATTCTGTCTCCTTCCACTCTCTCTCCCCCCTTTCAATCTGCCTCTCCCCCACTCTCCTCCCACCCCCTCCGCTTATCAACCTGCAACATGCCTTCCCTCCATCCACACAGCTTCCAGCCCAGCTTTTAGTTAAATGCCAGCGGCTACACACGGTTACCCTGCGGGGCAACGCGGTTACACCGGAGCAGTTTGAACTGATGGAGGGGTACAATGAGTTTGAGGAGAGGAGGAAAACCAAAGTGGACAAACGGATCGCTGCAAATGTGCTGCTGAACGATCAAAGTTTGGACATAGGAATCGATCGCACATGACAAGGTGTAGACTCTACAAAATATTCTGCCTCAGCATACGGATTGCATTAGGACTACCCTCTATACTGCTGTGTATTATTAATTACTTGACTATTGTTAAATCCTTGAACAACGTGAATGTGTGATGTGACTATATGTTCGCATCATTACCGCATTATGTTCAATTGTAAAATCCTAGATACTGTACCACCAGTAAGAGGGTAAATCTCCATCAATGGTACTCAACAGATCGCTGTGAGCACGCACCACATGTTGTGTTGAGCTGTTTATGTTGCACGTACAATACAATGCCGCATTCTTCTACCGGTATCTGATTCTTATTCTTCCCTTACAGGTACAAAACCAAACACTCTCCAGATGAATCTCGAAAAATGTGAACGTACGCGTTGTACGAAACAAGAGTACACTAAAAGTGTCCATGCGCCTGGTCCCGCTCCTCGTACGTTTTTTTGAGTCGACTCAGAAGTCATATGCATGCGCCTGGTCCCGCTCCTCCTCATACTCCAGCTGGAGAAACAAGAGGAGAATTGAGGAAAGGAGTGGGGGCCAGGGGAAAAAGAGTGAGAGGAGATTGGAGGAAAGGGCACAGTGAATGAGCAAAGTAGATGGAAGGGGGGGCCAGGGGAAAACAAGAGTGATAAGGAGCATATGGATGTTCCCGCTCCTCCTCATATTCCAGCTGCAGTAACAAGAGGAGCAACAAGGAAAGAATTGGGGCGGGCAGAGGAGGGGGGAAAGAAGGAGGGGGGGGGGGGGGAAGGAAACAGAGTGGAGAATGGAGGAAAGGCCACAGTCAATGAGAATGGCCAGGAGAAGATGGAAAAGTAGCGCGAAGAGGAAAGGAGGGCAGGGGGTGACGAAAAAGTAGTGGAGGGGGGGGGGAGGGCAGAGGAGAGGAAAGAAAGGGAGAAAACCGGAGCGAAATTGGTCACAAGGGCTTCACAAATGCTTTTCCCTCTCTCAAGGCTCAAGCAGCCAGCCTTGCTTGCTACTTCACATTTATGAAGAAGTGTTTTGAGACATGTCAAAATACTTCACACATTGGCTGCTTATCTACCCTGTCTCTCCTCGATGTGTCTTCTCCTTCCGGCTTTGCCTGCTGCAGTGCCCTTCCCTCTAGCGCCAGCACCAGCACCAACAGCACCGCAAGCGGCAGCACGCAAGCGGCAGCACGCAAACGGCAGCACGCAAACGGCAGCATGCAAACGGCAGCATGCAAACAGCAGCACGTGTAAATCTTGCATTTTCCTTTCTATTCTGGTGTGAAATCCTCTCACCTCGATGTGTCTTCTCCTTCCGGCTTTGCCTGCTGCAGCCCCCTTCCCTCTAGCTGCAGCACCACCCCTCCGTGCCCCTGCCCCTGCTCCTGCCCTTGCGGCTGCTCCCTTTCCTGCTGCCGCCTGCTGCTTCCCCCATCTCGCCTGCACACTCCTTTCAAACTCCATCTCTGCTTCCTCCTCCGCCTCCTCATCCTCCTCATCCTCCTCCTCCTCATCCTCCTCCTCTTCCTCGTCATCCTCTTCCTCCTCCTCTTCTTCCTCCTCCTCTTCTTCTTCCTCATCCTCCTCACTGTAATCCTCCTCTCCCCTCCTCCCACGCCCAGGCAACGCCAGTCTATCCCCCATATCTTCAATCTCCTCCTCATCCTCCTCCTCCTCCAAATCATACCCCTCAACAAACTCAACCTGAGGCTCATAATCCTCCTCCTCTTCCTCCACTTCCTCCTCCTCCTCCTCCTCCTCCTCCTCCTCCTCCTCCTCCTCCTCTTCCTCTTCTTCCATTTCTCTGTCCTCCACACCCTCCTCCCCTCCAACCACCTTCACTCTCTTCTTGACTGGTCCGTCCTCCTGCTCCTCCTTCTCCTCCTCCTCTATCCTCTTTTGGAACTGCTTCAGCGGGAAGTTATAAAGCTCGCCGTACGTTCCGCTCTGTAGCCGCTGTAGCAGCTCCTTCTCAATGGCCTGGACAGTTGAGAATAATGCAATAATAAAAACAAATACATTACAGAAATAGATGTATATATATATATATGTATGTGTGTCATAGATGTGTAATACGTGGATGCAGATGCCTATGTACGGTTCTAATTTAAGACTCACAATGGTGTACTATACATGCATATGCACATTATCAACCCCCCTGTTACTCACTCTATCAATCTTGGCTGCGGTTTCTGCCTTGGCCTCCCTCTTCTCCTTCCCACCGGCTTTGGAGGCGTTTCAGAAACCGTTGCCTCTGCGTGGCTCGCATCCATCCACCCCACCCCACCCACCTAACAGCCACCCTCCCTCCCCCTGGGACTCACTCTGTCGATCTTGGCGGCCGTTTCTGCCTTGGCCTCCCTCTTCTCATCTCTCTTCCTCATTTTCGTCGGCATCGTTACAAGCTTGGGCCTGATAAGACGGTGCGGGCGGGAAGGGAAATGCTCTTGAGATGAGGCGTCTGTAAGAGCAACTTCCCAGTTCCGTTATCCTCGTTACAAGCTTAGTGCAGCAGGCCTCAAAACACGGTGCGGGCGGGAAGATTCATGTGCGGGCGGGCCTCAAAAGAAAGTGCGGGCGGGAAGATTCATGCGCAGGCGGGCCTCAAAAGAAAGTGCGGGTGGGAAGCGTGATGTGGATGAGGAACTAAGGAAAACAAGCTCAAAGATTCATAAACAAAAGCAACATATTTAATCATTCTTCTACTCACTGTATCTTGACGGCCAATCGGCGCATGCGAATAAGGTACTGGGTCAACCGAGTCAACCGGAGCTTCACCAGTGAGACCATACGAGGCGGCCACCATTGCTGTGAGTGGAGTGGGGGCAGAAGAAGGAAAGAGGCATGGGGTTGGATAAAGGTTGCACCCATCAGAGAGATCAGAGGGAGCTTCACCAGCGAGACCATGCGGGGTGGCCACCATTGCTGCGAGGGTTACACAGGGAAGGGGAGGGAAGGGCATGGGGGGAGGTTGCACCCATCAAGAAAACAGACGAAGCTTCACCAGCGAGACCATGCGGGGCGGCCACCATTGCTGCGAGGGGACGGGTAAGCAAGGTAGGGGAACAGAAGAAGGGTGGAGAGAGCAAGGGAGGAGGGAGGAAAGGAGGTTCCGCCTTCCAGAGAAGTCAACCGGAGCTTCACCAGCGAGACCATGCGGGGCGGCCACCATTGCTGCGAGGGGACGGGTAAGCAAGGTAGGGGAACAGAAGAAGGGTGGAGAGAGCAAGGGAGGAGGGAGGAAAGGAGGTTCCGCCTTCCAGAGAAGTCAACCGGAGCTTCACCAGCGAGACCATGCGGGGCGGCCACCATTGCTGCGAGGGGACGGGTAAGCAAGGTAGGGGAACAGAAGAAGGGTGGAGAGAGCAAGGGAGGAGGGAGGAAAGGAGGTTCCGCCTTCCAGAGAAGTCAACCGGAGCTTCACCAGCGAGACCATGCGGGGCGGCCACCATTGCTGCGAGGGGACGGGTAAGCAAGGTAGGGGAACAGAAGAAGGGTGGAGAGAGCAAGTGAGGAGGGAGGAAAGGAGGTTCCGCCTTCCAGAGAAGTCAACCGGAGCTTCACCAGCGAGACCATGCGGGGCGGCCACCATTGCTGCGAGGGGACGGGTAAGCAAGGTAGGGGAACAGAAGAAGGGTGGAGAGAGCAAGGGAGGAGGGAGGAAAGGAGGTTCCGCCTTCCAGAGAAGTCAACCGGAGCTTCACCAGCGAGACCATGCGGGGCGGCCACCATTGCTGCGAGGGGACGGGTAAGCAAGGTAGGGGAACAGAAGAAGGGTGGAGAGAGCAAGGGAGGAGGGAGGAAAGGAGGTTCCGCCTTCCAGAGAAGTCAACCGGAGCTTCACCAGCGAGACCATGCGGGGCGGCCACCATTGCTGCGAGGGGACGGGTAAGCAAGGTAGGGGAACAGAAGAAGGGTGGAGAGAGCAAGGGAGGAGGGAGGAAAGGAGGTTCCGCCTTCCAGAGAAGTCAACCGGAGCTTCACCAGCGAGACCATGCGGGGCGGCCACCATTGCTGCGAGGGGACGGGTAAGCAAGGTAGGGGAACAGAAGAAGGGTGGAGAGAGCAAGGGAGGAGGGAGGAAAGGAGGTTCCGCCTTCCAGAGAAGTCAACCGGAGCTTCACCAGCGAGACCATGCGGGGCGGCCACCATTGCTGCGAGGGGACGGGTAAGCAAGGTAGGGGAACAGAAGAAGGGTGGAGAGAGCAAGGGAGGAGGGAGGAAAGGAGGTTCCGCCTTCCAGAGAAGTCAACCGGAGCTTCACCAGCGAGACCATGCGGGGCGGCCACCATTGCTGCGAGGGGACGGGTAAGCAAGGTAGGGGAACAGAAGAAGGGTGGAGAGAGCAAGGGAGGAGGGAGGAAAGGAGGTTCCGCCTTCCAGAGAAGTCAACCGGAGCTTCACCAGCGAGACCATGCGGGGCGGCCACCATTGCTGCAATGGGTACGCAGGGGAGGGAGGGAAGGGAGAAATGAAGAGATGGTTTAAAGAGGCCACACCCGCCAGCTCTGGCGGAGATTCACCTGCAAGACCATGCGGGGCGGCCACCATTGCTGGAAACGGGGGGGAAAGTGGAGAGGGGGGAGGAGGGGGGACGGAAGATGACTCGAGCAAGGGGAGGGCGTGGTGGAGGGAACATGAAAACTTATTACCAAGCTGATTCACCAGGGAAGTGTCACCAGGGCAGGCGGAGCAGGAGCAGCTTCACCAGCTGGATCCGTGAGTGAGAGCAATGATGGCCACCGTTGATTCAATCAATCCATCAATGCACTCACGGATCATCCTCCTGAGGCGCCCCAGAACTCAAAAACGCTCACAAGAAAAGAAGCCTTTTTTACTCAAGCTAAAATAGGCTCTTCATAGCCCCCAAGCACTCACCAGAAACTTGTCCACTGCCTCTAGTGCCTTGGTGTAGTTTCTCGGAAGCTTCACTCGCTCCCAGAGCTTGTTGGGCATGTGCGCCCTCTCAATGGTCTTCATGTAGAGAAACAGCTCGCCTGTGTGTGGGTGTGAGGAAAA